GAGGGGGGGTTGATGCTTTTGCTTCAGTTGTGATGGGTTTCTGTTATTATGACTACTGTTATTGTTTGTGTGAGATCTGCGTCCAAGCAACATCGCTAGAGATGGAATTGAGGTGTGGACTGGAAAAAAAGGGGGCTGGCCTTGTGAATGTATGTGACCAAGAAATTGACGGCAGAGGTCCACTAATGATTTTAAGAAGAGTCCACACTCGCATCCACCCATATGGGAGGAAGAGAAGAGAAGGGCAGAGCAGAGAAGAGACCTTACATCTGGTATGCATTCCGCATTGCAGTACCCACTCCCCACTTGCACTATGAAGTGGACCTTACAAATAAGAACATTTTTTTTCAAGGCCTTAATTGATACTAGTTATGAAATAGCAGGTCGTCCGAGTAAAGCGGAAAAGCTTTAGAAAAGGGACTTCATTTGCTGATGATTGTAGTTGTAGACTTGTAGGATTACTATTCCATATCTATCTGGGTCTGGGTCATGTATGGCTGCCGTAGACCGAATGGGAAAGGGGTTCGTTTTTCTTCTTTCTTTTCCCCCTTCCTTCCGTCCCAATCAATCTGATTGAGGGATGCTTCATTGGCCCTCCATTATTGATCTTGTATTAGTTGGTTGCCATAACCCAGTCCGAGTTATAGACCACTATCAATCTGCCAGATATCCTAGGTCGGACCACTACCAAAATTCGGGAAACCCTGCTGTAAAGTGGCCATATCGAGTCTGATTCTGAAACAGCATCGCCATGGATCCTAGATAACCTCGTCCTCTGCCTAACTCGAATTTGAGAGAAGATCATTGGTTTTGGTGGTGGGCTGATGATAGTAAGGGAATGTGGGCAAGCCAACTTTGACTGTTTGGGTGTGTCATGTCTGCGTGTATGGTGTTTGTTTCATTTTTAAATGGAAGGCTTTTTATTTTATTTATTTATTTTTATGATTCCCTTGTTGCTCGCTTTATCCACATTGCTTACTGTTTGGAACAGTCCTATGGACGACCATAGGATAAGCGGAGCCTCAGCTTTTTGATGATATTTCTGAATCGTGGACAAACGAATCATATATGTAATGTAGACACACAGAGACCAAACGAAAAGCCTTTCTACTTGGGGTCGTTCCGAGGGGTCCTCTCTCTCTCTCTTCCAGCTTGTGATGTCAAGCGAATTCTCCTTTTGTACGTGACTGCAGAGTCCCCTTCACGGTGGGGACCAACGCTTAACGCTAGCCCGCCCTTCACATATGATAATGATACATTTCCCTTCGTTTCCCCCCTCTCTCTCTTCTATCTCTATCTTCCCAGAGTTCTGTGACTTGTGTCCTACAAGATCCTATTCACTTGAAAGGTGGTCCGGAGGTTCGGACATCGGAGTATGCGTTGCGTACCCTAAAGTTTATGACTTCCTCGTAATGATGCCCCATGGCCCATGGGAATGGGGTTGTGAAGGGCCCACTGCTTCAGTATTACTATTGATGACATCCTAATTCCAAACTGGGATTTGTGTTGGTCACTCAAAAAAAAAAAAATCATTGCAGTAGATTCTTACACCATTGGTACCATACCAACTCTTGAGTCTTGACCGATGATCCATCCATCCAGCCAGAGCCAGGAGCCAGGAGCCAGGAGCCAGCCCTCCTGAAACACTGAAACCCACTCAGGTTTCACATTTCCAGCTTGTCCCTACTCCCGACCACATAAATTGTCTTGTATTTTCTGCTTGGACAGGAGTCAGAACACAGAACAGAGATGGGAGTGCTATAGTTCACGCCTTTATCATCCAAGTTGGCCATTGGCCGGATTCACACAGAACAGACCCATCTGGAATCATGAGCCGGAAATCAGCATCCGATAAAAACTGGTATAAACAGTCCTTTTCATCCCTGAGGACAAGATAATTAACACGGGCGTCCTAGTTCTAAAAAAGTGCTACAGATTAAGATGGTTAAATTGAATGGAGTGAATGAATCCAATGACTTCTGCTCTCCTTGCAGGATGCAAAACCGGATGGAGCAGATCCATTTCTGACTTTGCCCATCCAGATCCAGAGCTAGGTGGCCCCCATGAGCAATTGTGACACTGATGCTTTATTTATTTTTATTATATTTAATAATATATTTATATTTATATATATATTATCATGGGGCTTGGATGGATATGGGTAAGTAAGTAATATAGGTGTGAGACCGTGTTCATGGGTGGGATTCACATGTTACGCACAAAAGCAATAGGCAATGGCAATCAATCCATGGCGCTCGGCGTGGGCGTGGTCAACCACTAACCTATTCATTTTTTAATTTTATTAAAATAAATACAGTATTTTTTTTTTCCTTTTTCGTAACATCAAGTACAGCAACATTTTTTATTTATTTATTGGCGGGCACTAATAAATAGCGAGTAGTACAGCACCACAGTCCACAGCGCAGTAGAAAGTAGAAACAAACAACTATTTAACAGGGTCAGGGTCACCAACTCACCATCCATGATTGGTGATAAGATGGTGCGGGAGGCATTTCATCATTTCAGCCATCCAGGACCATGGTATCTCCCTCCTCTTCATTACTAATTAGCACGTGCATTATTTGATGGTGGGGCCAACAAACAATTGATCTGGATCTTAATTTCACATGTATATATGGGCTTATTTCTTCATTCACACCTAGAACTGGAATTCTTTCTACATAATTTGCCTATGTAGTTGAATGTGAAGAAAGAAAGAAAAAGCTTTGTTTAAATTTACCCTCAAATCTTCAGATTTTTTACTTGAACAAAAACTTACCGACCAGAATAAACTCTTTTACTTCGTCTATTTTTGGGTGCAGAACAAACAAGGGAAAAGTGAAACACGGTCAAAATTTACCATTCTCCATATTTTACTTCGAAACAAAAAGGGCAAAACAAGTAATAAAAACTTTTGTCAAAATTTATATTTAAATCTGGATAAAACCTATGACACATCTGATGCACTATCTTAAAGTAATGGTAAATGCATTTTGTTAAACATGAAATGATGAAATTATACTTTGCAAAATGTAATCAATGAGAAGTAAATAAACTTTAATACGATTGATTGGGATTGACCCGGATTTAATGTGCAATCAATATTAATAAAATTATCATAGTTAAATTCTTAAATAGCTAAATTATTTTTTAAATAAAAATCATTATCATTGTCGTTGTCTAAAATTCATCTATATATCTATCATTGAAAGGTACTCTAAAACGAGAAGATGTTTTATGTTTTAAAATTGGGTTCGACTATAATATGGAAAAGATATGATATCCGATAAACTGGAATCATAAACCTGATAGAAAATCAGGTGTTATTTATCAAAATTCATAAATGGGTTTTGATTGGTCAAAACTCTTTCTATATCATAGATTTTCCCTTAAAAATTTGAAAAGGAAGATGAATATAAGATAGGATTCAGTCCTCACAAAATGATGCTCACAGCCACTTGCATCTGTACAGTGAGAATATCTCCCATAAAGAAAAATATACAAATGCAGAGATATCTCCAATACATGGTTACAAGTGGACGTAAATAAGGTGTGAGCACCGTTTTATAAGGACTGAATCAGATCGAGTTCCATGAATATGCAGTTAGAGTGAGCATTTAAGGAACTATGCTACTTGGCTAGACCACCTTTTTCCATGAATAGGTTCAATGGGTGTTGTTGCTATCACTGTTGCGCTGATAATTTGAGGCTTTGGGCAATTTGACAAAACTGTCTAGCTTACTTTTTAATATGGGGGCCTAGCATCTAGCTAGGGTGACAATTACACTATGAATTTTTCTCTTACTATAATCTGGATTGGCCACATCATTCTCCACAATGCTAAAATAGAAGCCATTTTTCTTAAAAAAATAATCTAATGCTACAAACAAGTTATCACTAAGCAAATAGAAAAGGAAAAAAAAAATAATTAGATCTTACACAAGTGTTGCACACGTTTACCAAACACGTCATCTATTCATCTTTTACCTCATTAAGGAAGCTTCAGCTTACAGAAAAGAAAAGAAAAAAAAAAAAGAAGAGAATTCCGATTCTACCCCAGCTGGGTACGATAACACAGCTTGAGCTTGCTTGCTGTCTTCCTTCCTCTAAAGTCTCGAATTGGAGCTTTTTACTGTATTCGAGAGGCTCCTTCGATGCATGCATGGACTGTATATAGCCTTTGTGAATGGGGGGTAGAAGCTTCCGAGATACTATAAATATATGCTTAAAATCTTAAGCATGAAGTCTAAAATCTTTCATCAATATGAATATATATATATATATATATATAAATATGATCTCCCATCAGAAAATTTTACCCTTGCAAGGACAAAGCTGCTTCGTCCTTTGTAACCTATAAGGGAGATTCCTTTCACCAAGTAATGTACCAAAAGAAAACAGAAGATGGCTTTTTTCCAATAGAAGTGTCCCTTAGAGTGAGGATAGGGCCGAAAATATGTCCTCTTTTATATATATATATATACATACATATGTCATTTTAATTTAAATACAATGAGTTTGGAGATAATAAGTCAGGGTTAAACAAATGGTGCCCGTTCCTCAAGGTAATTAAACTTATTACTTAGACTAAAACAAAGAAAGGCAAACCTCTGCAGTTGGGATCTGCCTTCAGTTGCATTTTTTCTTTTACAGAAAATAACGTGACCAAATCTGACATTTATTTTACTTTTCTGAATAGATAATTTGATATTTCTTTTGGGAAAAAAAGTAGTTTGGTAGATAAAAGGTTCCACACGG